TCTGCAAGTTACTTAGCACGCTGATACATGTTCATACAAAAGAAACAACTAGAAATACTTCTAGCTTGAACCAACAAGATAAGCTCTAGCTAATCAGAACTTAAAGAAAGGATGCTATAAATGATAGTCACATCTAGCTTGCCTAAGTACCAAAGGGACGAGCAAAAGGTTACAGTAGAATATTGTGTGGACAGATGCAAGGTTCCTATTTTATAGGCAATTCGCAAGCAAGAGGTTTTACTAGCAATAAGTTTCACTAGAAGTAGGCATTCAACAAGTAAAGTTTCACTAGCAATCAGAGAATCAGCAAGCATAGGATGTACAAGCTAGCACAAAAAAGGGGAAAGAGACGGAACATACAAGGCGCTTTTGTGCTTTCTGGCTACTGATTGCACCATTATTGCCACTTTCGTCGAGGTTTTTCATACCAGATTTCATCACAGCATATGTGTTTATTATGGTGGCCTTCTCAGGTCCAAAGTATATTCCTACAAGTGCAAACAGATAGTTATAAGTGAAAGCATGTTGCAGACACTAAAGATAAATTGTAGTGAGATCCTCAAAAAGCATCTGCCAAGAATGCATTTTATCATGGATTATACAGCAAAGTATATTTATTAGAATTTATGCATGAATTATAGTAAATCATATTTATCATTACCATGAACATTTGGTACTTTGGGAGATGATACCATTACCAATTGAGTTACCAGCAGCCTTGCAATGTAATCTGGTGTAGTGAAGTGAGGCGTTCATCCTGCATGATTATGTTTGGATATTAGATCCAATGTGCCAATAGTATATACAAATAACTCCTGACTGTAAACATAATAGGATTAACATAGAACACCATCAGGACATTAAACTGTAATTTAATCATGAAGTCATGATCAAATGCACATACCCAACATTGAGAAAACATCCAGACCTCATCACCAGTGAACCGAGAAAAAATGACTGCTATTCATTGATGCAATAGGAGAAAGAACACAGAAAAAGCAAGTGACCAAGCTACATGTTGTAGCGTAAGCCTGGGTCAAATACAATACACTATCAAGCCAATATAAACACTAGCACTGACATTTGTATGCGAGAAATCAGTTCAGAAAGCATGTACCTTTCTTTTCTTCACTATGGAGAAGCTGTACGGTAGAGAAGAGGTGCAGAGTTCCGAGGGACCAAGAGAGTTTCTTAATTCTCAGAGAGTTCCTGAAAGCACATAGCAAGTAACAGAACAAATTATATGGAGAAGAACATTTTCAGTTTTTCAATGACATCAACAAATGGAAGTGCTAATAGCACACCTAAAAGTAGCTCCTAAAATTTTCTAGACAGGAGAAAGAACAAAGCTCTTTATTGAAAATGAAAACTGAATAAATCAACACACTACAAACAAATGCAAATGGCGCTTATTTGTCACTCATATGGCAAATGGTCACTTAACCAAGAAAAAGAAAATCAAGATCCTGTTGTCCCGAGACCATTATTCTTATACATAACTAGCAAGACGCCCATGCGTTGCACGAAACATCAAGATGCATTTATATGAATAGTTTATCTTGTGAAAGAAAAGGATGAACAAGGAAAGGCCTTATTTGCAAATGTGGAGAGGGGTGTGGGTATCTTTTTGCAAAATTGTCATAGTTTCCTTCCTAACCGTCAGATATAAATCGGCCATCAACACCAACTTCATTTTTTATAAGAGTAGAGATTTGTATGAACAACTTCAGAATCTTTTTTTTGCGTGGGTGAACAACTCAAGATCCTAGTTGAGACTTACCACGGTCTTGGAGAAAAGGAGGAGGAGGAGACTGCTGCTGTCACATCGGAAGAGGAGGCGGCGGCATGCTGGATTTGCGACCAGAGACTCCCCAGATCTGCAGTAGGAAGCACGAGGGGCCGGCAACGCGTACCGGACGACCCTATTTGAGTGCAGTGGTGGGTGTGAGCCGAGGGAGGTGGGATGCGGCGGCGGATGCTAGTGAAGGCAGAACGGCAGTAGAGGATGTCAGGACGGGATACGGGAGACGGATGGGAGTGGCGGACGCATGTGGACGCGATGAGAATGGGCGGTAGTGGAGGTCGGAGGCGGGCGGCGCGAGAACAAGTTATTTGTGGAGGAGGGCGGCGGATCTGGCCAGGAAGATGGAGGAGTGCGGCTGGGGTGGAGGCGGCGGCCATGGAGGTAGAGAGACGAGACGAAGAGAGGAGTGGGGAATTTTTCTAGGGTGTTCTGTTTATCTCTCTGGGCTGTTTTTCCTGTTGGCCCATATCACACAGGAAAATAGAAATTGGCGCGGAAGTTTCGTTTGAGGGGGGAAAATCGCGCGAGCTGGCGCCAATGGCTATTTCGCTGTTGTGTAACGGCGGGCTGGGGCTAAAATATTTTCCCGTGGGCTGTACAACTCACATGAAAGCATATTTTCCTGAGAGGCATGGCAGTACCTACAGTAAAATAGGTTATTTTCGTGAGGGTCAAATCTTGCCCGCAAGGAATATTCGAATTCCTGTGGGGAGCTTCGGGCCTCACAGGAAAATTAAGCCACTCACAGGACGTTGGGCAGCACGGACTGTGTATCCCTCAGGGCCGGCTCGGGCCGTCTGTTGCAATTTGGAAATCTCAGGTGATGAACAAACAAACAATGTAAAATAGAAGAGCGAAATATTGTGTTATTTATAACTGTACTGTCACTAGACAAGAACCACCTATACTGCGACTGCGAGTTGGTTTAGAAAGTTGTACTAGAAGCTCAAAACCTTATACAACATGAGTACTTATGGGGCTGGGGATGCAGTAACGGGGGTGCGCTACTTGAGGAGCCGAAGCAGAAGCGGATCACAAAGAAGAGGATGGTAAGCAACCGAATCAGATGGTGAATAACAACATTCTTTCTGAATCGGGGTGCATTTGCGAGGTAAAAAACCTAGTTATTTAGCACCCAAAAATTAACCAGCGTACTGAAGTTTCTAGACTGAGAATTTCTTACATTTTTAATGGGAATTTTGTGGAACTGGGAAACTTGTGCCAAGAGATGAATGACTTATATCCACTTGTAGCACATGTTTTGACCGGGAATTTGTGGTATCGGGAAACTTGAAAAGGACGGCAGCATACGACCATGGCCAGAACTCTGAGTGAAAGTCTCTATATGCACATTGTTAGAAGTATATATATACGTCTAGTTAGAGATAAGGAGAGATAGGGATAGAATTAGTTTAAACATACAATGCCTTGTGTCAGCATATCCACTTGTGATTGGACGTTTTGACCAGGAATTTGTGCAACAGCATGCGAAACTTGAAAAGGACAGCAACATACGACCAACACTAAGTCAAAGTCTTTGTATCACGACGTCACAAGTTTGAATGGCTCATAGAAATAGCAGTACATATTGCATTTCATAATTCATATGCATATCTACATCAATCATTGAAGCCTAGCCGCCGAACCCATCAGCCATCTACAAATGCAGTAGAGAAACCATATCTCAAACCCATCAGCCTTCTACAAATCCAGTAGAGAAACCATATCTCAACGCACGACTAGACATATAACCAGTAGAGAAACCATATCTCAAATCTGTAGTATGTTCTGGTTTTAGACTTGCCTATTGTTTTGGTTGATGTGCAATTTGTAAAAGATGTTTAAAAGTCTGCTCTCTCTCCGGTAGTGGGTGATTTGGTATCCTATAGATATGGTTATATGTCTAGGATGTAGGTTGATTATCAGTTGATGAGGTGATGCATCAGGTCTGATGGAAAAAGTGGTGTGGTGGTTGTATCCAGACTTCTATTTTCTTAATGAAAATGGGGGCCATGTGGCCCCTTTTATCAAAAAAAAGACTAGAGCTGTAGTCCGTAGAGCACAAGTCCTCATGTCTCCTGTGCAGTCACTGCCTCTGATAATCCTTGTCCTATCCTCTCTGCTGACATGTTCAGAACTAGGTGCCACAGCTCTCCACCATGATGCTAGCACTGACTTCCAAGCTCTCCGATGCCTTAAACTGCATCTTAGTGTTTCAACTCGACTCCTAACCTCATGGAAGATCGATGATTCCCTCCAACAGTTTTGCACTTGGTCTGGTGTTACTTGCAGTAAGAGGCACACATCTCGTGTTGTTGCACTGGACCTCGAGTTGCTCCACCTAGATGGCCAAATACCTCCTTGAATTGCAAATTTCACTCTCCTCACAAGAATCCACCTCCCAAACAATCAACTTAGGGGTCCAATCCCAGCTGAAATTGGCCAACTGAATAGGTTGCGGTATCTTAACCTCAGCTCAAACAATATTAGTGGCATGATCCCAAGCAATCTAGCCACATGTTCTCAACTTCAAGTCATTGATCTTGGGAGCAACTTCATCAATGGCGAGATCCCACCAAGCCTTAGCCAATGTTCAAATATGCAGAAACTCAACTTGGATGACAACGAGCTCGTTGGAGGCATCCCAGAAGGGTTGGGGACACTACGCAACCTTTCAGTTTTGCAACTTGCTGGAAATACTCTGACAGGCAATATACCTCTTTCACTTGGAACCAGTTCTTCCCTTCATTCTGTTAAACTCACTGACAATAGCCTCACAGGACCAATCCCATCTCTCCTAGCTAATAGTTCATCACTTTAATTTTTGGTCTTAACGAAAAATCAGCTTGGTGGAGAGATTTCGCCGGCCCTATTTAACAGCACATCACTCCAAATCTTGTCCCTGGGACTAAACAACTTTATTGGGTCCATACCTGCTATTTTCCCGAATGTTGCTGACTCACCCTTGAAACGTCTTGTCTTGGCATCAAATAATCTTACAGGCACAGTACCTTCTTCTCTAGGGAATTTTTCTAACCTTTCGTGGCTCTTGCTTTCACAGAACAATTTTCAAGGTAGCATCCCAGTGAGTATTGGTAAGCTTCCCAACCTGCAATCACTAGACCTTACTTACAACTTCTTGTCAGGGAGTGTCCCAGCCTCTATTTACAACATATCAACACTGACATACCTTGGCATGGGTGCAAATATTTTGTCAGGGAAAATTCCATATAACATTGGATATACCCTTCCAAGCATCCAAACTTTGATTATGGGAGCGAACAAATTTCATGGCCAAATCCCCACTTCACTAGCCAACACAATGATTCTTCGGGCAATTGATCTCGGTAACAATTCGTTCCATGGTATTGTGCCTTCTCTTGGGACTCTTCCCAAGTTAATCTACCTGGATCTCGGTGAAAATCGTCTGGAAGCAGGAGATTGGTCTTTCTTAACCTCGTTGACCAATTGCACCCAGCTGGTGGAATTATCCTTAAATGCAAATATCCTTCAAGGAGATTTGCCGAGTTCCATTGCAGGACTCTCGAAGAGCTTAGAGGTATTGTTATTAAGAGAAAATAGAATATCAGGCACTATACCATGGGAGATACATCACCTCAGAAACATCAAAACTCTTTACATGGGAAAATTTTTGCTTAGTGGAAGAATCCCTGAATCACTTGGAAATCTTCGAAACTTGTTTGTCCTAAGCTTATCCCAGAACAAACTTTCCGGAAGAATTCCATTGTCAATTGGCAATCTAAGCATACTGAGTGAGCTATATTTACAGGAAAATAATTTGAGTGGCCCAATCCCAGGAGCTCTAGGAGACTGCAAAAAATTGGTCATGCTGAACCTCTCTTGTAATACCTTTGATGATAGCATACCAAAGGAGCTCTTTACTCTTTCCTCCCTTGCAGAAGGTTTGGACTTATCTCATAACAAACTCTCAGGAGAAATACCACTGCAGATTGGTGGCTTGGCCAATCTCGGCCCATTGAATATATCCAATAACCAGTTGTCTGGACAAATACCCTCTACTCTTGTTCAGTGCGTCCACTTGGATTCGCTGCACATGGAGAGGAACAATTTTCATGGGAGAATCCCTCAATCTTTCATGAATTTGAGAGGCGCCATTGTGATGGATCTATCGCAAAACAACTTGTCTGGTGAAATCCCTGACTTCTTCGAGTCCTTTAGTTCTATGAAGCTTCTAAACTTGTCGCTCAATAACTTCCAGGGACCAGTGCCACCAGGTGGAATGTTTCAGAATGAAAGTGAGGTGTTCTTACAAGGAAACAAGAAGTTATGTGCCAACACCCCAGTGCTAGAGTTGCCACTTTGCAATGAAATGATATCCAAAAAAAAGCTGTACACCTCCAAGATTCTGAAGATAGTAGCGATTACTGTTATTTCTTTGGTTTTGTTATCATGCTTTGGAGTCATTATCTTTAAGAATAGAAAGATCGAACAAGCAACACATCCATCTGTCAAGGAGTTAAAGAAGTTCACATATGTTGATTTAGTGAAAGCAACGAATGATTTTTCTTTAGCCAACTTGGTTGGTTCCGGAAAATATGGGTCTGTACACAAAGGTAAAATTGAGTTGGAAGAACATCATACAGTTGCTATCAAAGTTTTCAGACTCGATCAACTTGGAGCAACAAAGAGCTTCCATGCTGAATGTGAGGCCCTGAGAAACACTCGTCATCGCAATCTTGTAAGGGTGATCACTGTATGCTCAACAAGTGACCGGCAGGAAATGCGTTCAAAGCTCTTGTTCTTGAGTTTATGGTAAATGGCGACCTGGAGAGTTGGCTCTATCCAACACTACTCCAGGAGCATCATCCTAAAAGGCCATTGTGTTTGAGTTCAAGAATAGGAATAGCAGTGGACGTAGTCGCTGCTTTGGATTATCTCCATAACCAATGCATGCCTCCTATGGTCCATTGTGATCTAAAGCCTAGCAATGTACTTCTGGATGATGTCATGGGTGCACGTGTAGGTGACTTTGGGTTGGCCAAGTTTCTACATGGTTATTGTTCTTCTTCGGGGATTGATGGTTCTACTCCTACAAGCTTAGGGGGGCCAAGAGGATCAGTTGGATACACTGCACCAGGTAACGATTTCTTATGTGCTCTACTGGATATGCAAGTAGTATATATTCCTTTTTTCCCAGAAAAACCTTTTGATTCTTCAGCTCCAAATCTTTTTTGCTAATTAATTGTTTGAATAACTATATGTATTGCAGAATATGGCTATGGAAGCAAAATCTCGACGGAGGGTGATGTTTACAGCTATGGAGTCATCATCTTAGAGATGCTCACAGGGAAGCGTCCAACTGATGAGTTGTTTAAAGATGGCCTGAGCCTCTACAAATTTGTGGAATATTCATTTCCTGAAAAGATTGGGGAGATTCTAGATCCTAGAATCATCATCCCCTATTATGGGAACCGAGATGAAGAAGCGGGCAGTTCTTTAGACCAAGAAAATTATCAACTGGCTGCTGGAATAATGGCCTGCATCACGGCTCTTGCTAAGCTTGGCTTGCTGTCTACTGCGGAGACGCCTAAAGATCGCCCAACAATGCAGGACGTCTACGCTAATGCCATCAGAATCAAAGAAGCATTTTCAGCACTGCAGGGCTGATCAGAAGAAGCATTTTCAACCGCATCTATCGATTGCCCACACGCCGCTGATCTGGTGCATGTTGACCTACGACTAGTTTATTTACATAAGGCTTTATTTTTCTTCATCGGAAGCTTGCTATGTACTCCCTCCGTCCGAAAAAGCTTGTCCCAAGCTTGTTTCTCAAATGGATGTATCTAGCACTAACTTGATTCTAGATACATTCATTTGGGGGACAAGCTTTTCTGGACGGAGGGAGTACGTTGTGAACTATCTTCTTTTTCAGTAGCAAATCTATGAGTGTACTGTAGGCAAACTATAGTTCAGCCTATATACAGTAAAGTTCAGCATGGGAACTACATCATTTTCGACATGGCTGTTTTTTCTCCCTACAGCTAATAAACTGGTCTTACATTAAGGTTTAAGCCCAACTACATATGAAGTAACAACACCACTGTAAAGATGTTAAAGTTGCACATCAAACTGTCAAACTTGAAGGTTGAATGAAACGCATGTGCAAGGATATGGCATTTCCTCCCTCACGAAAATAAGAGGATTGTTGGAGAAGAGCATACCGGCAAGGCAGAACAAAGGGAAGAAGCGATCCCAGAATGCAGCTCCTTGTGCAGTGCACGGCCGGCGTGGAAGGCGAGAGGAAGCCAAAGCGCACTGACGAACGACTGACCCGTGGCCGCGGCCGGCTCGTCGAGATTGTGCTTCCCTCGCTGCCGCTGGACTGAAGTAGGACGGACAGGGCGGCCGAGGGAAGGTCCAGATGGCCGGCCACCAAGGCGAACAAACAGAGACGCGCTGAAGCGAGTGTAGCATTGAGGGCCGAGTCAGAGCCGCATGCCTGCGTCCCAGGATGGGAAGGCATCCATGGTGGACGAGCGGCAGCGTTTGGGAAGCCCGCCGACGGTGAGTGAAGGCGGAGGGCGCGCAAGGCCAATTGTCGAACAGGTGGCGGGCACTGAAACAGGCCGAAGTAGAGGCAGGCGCCGCAGAAAGAGGGGTTGGCGGGTGTCAGGCCCAAGTGTCAAGGAGCATCTTACTATCTTCAGTTATCGGACGACTCTAGTACAAGACGGTTCGGTGCATCGTACGGCTCACATGGCTCGCCTACTCCACCAACCATTTCCGTTTACTGTACCGTTTCAATTGCCGTTACTGTTCTGTTCATCCATTTGCCAGTTGCAGCTATAAAGCTAGCCGCTGCCTTCTGTAATGGCATCGAATTATGCTGAGAATATCTCCATGATACAATCATACAGCTTATATCAATACAAACCCTAGTTTTGCTCCTACTTTCCCCTTTCCTCTCGCGTGAGATCTAAAATCCTCTAGCTCGATCCGCCCCAATTCCCTTGCGGGGTGTGACAATTGGTATCATGAGCACAAGTTTTCCTCGGCGGCGCGACAGATCGGAGTGATTCTGCTAATTTCCCCTCCCTTCCCTCCCTTTCTTCGACGACGGTGACGAGCGGTGTGGGGGACGGCTATTGAAGGCGCAGGCGGCGGTAGACCCATTCGACGGCAGCTTGCTGAGCACGACTGGTTGAGGAAGCACATCGCTCGCTCAGTAAAATCCCGGGTCTAGCGGCGAGTGGTGCTGTTCTGGTGGCGAATTGTGACGGCGGTGGCAGGGTTAAGTGTTCAGTTCGGGTTCCCGGCCAGATCATGTGGTAAAATTCCTCTCTGACCACTCCACCACAATGGGGAGAGCCAAGGCGAGTTTAGATGACGCGGATGTGACAGATCTACTGGCCATGAAGGACGATTTCGCGCAGCAGCGTGAAGATACAATAGTTTCAGTTATGAGCGGAGTTCAGAAAGCAGTATCGTCTCTCAACTTACATCTCGCGACCATGGCTGATGTGCTGAAGACCCTTAGCACACCCGAGGCATCCACTTCTGCACCACAAAGCTCAGTGATTCCTGAGCAAGCAACTGTTCCACCAGCGAGCAAAGAAGCAGCGGGGGAAGCGAACAGAACATTTACTGAAGAACTGCGGAAACGACTCGCTATGGAACAAGAGAAAACCACAGTTGGCTTCACAAGTTCCTCCTCAGTTACCTCCAATCCAGGTTCCCAGACCTTCTGTTCCTCCAGGTTTTGGAGCTGGCAATGCGGTGGATATTCACTCGGGCAATGCCACACCAACAGCTGCATACAAGACAACACGTACTTTAGGGTTCCACAGCTTTCAACCTCCACCTGTTCGTCAGGGCTGGGAAGAATTTCAGAAACAATATGAGCAGGAAATGCGAACACAATTCCTTAAGAGCATCACCAAAGGTCCCACAATGGATTTCCCTCATTTTAATGGCGACAACCCAGCGGGGTGGATCCATCAGTGCGATAAGTATTTCCAAATGGCAGGTGTACCAGATGAATATAAAGTCAGTTTAGCGCAGTTATATGTGGTGGGAAAAGCTGACGTTTGGCTGCGTCGTTCGGGTATTCTCAAGAGACAACTGAATTGGAGCCAGTTCTGTGAGGAAGTGCTCCGCAGATTCTCTTTGGCCAATTCTTATGAACTGACAGAAATTCAACACCTTGAAACAGAATACACTGTTGGTTTCTGATTACACTGATCAGTTCGAGGAGTTGATGGCTGAAGTGCAAGCGGAAAATCCTATTATGGACGAAAATCGGTTTGTCCGATGTTATGTCAATGACCTCAGAGCCCAACTCAAGTATCAGCTGCGTCCACTTAAACCAACTTCGCTCACTGAGGCCTATTGGTTAGCTATTGACCTGGAAAAAGGAGTTTCTGAAAAGAAATCTTACACTGCAAGTTATAGCACTGCTAAAAACTCTTCTAGTTATCACAAGTCTGAAAAACCTCCTGATCCTAAGCCAACTACTTTAAATCAAAGAGCTCGAGAGCCTGGCAAGTGTTGGCGTTGTGGAGATACTTAGTTCCATGGTCACAAGTGCAAGCTAGCACCAGTCCTTAATGTGTTGACAGGCGAGGACCCTACTGAACAAACACAAGAACAGCAGGAATTAGATGAACATGAAAGTTCTGAACAACCACAAACTGAGGAACAATGCAAGACCGTTTCAGCCCAAGACATGCGTTCAGACAACAGTAACACCATCTCCATCTTGGTCAATATTGGAGCAAACAAGGCATTGCTTTAGTAGACTCTGGCAGTAATTCCACGTTCATCAGTCTTCAGTTTGCACTGCAAACTTCCTGCACCATCCTCAAGGATGCAACAAGGGCAGTAACAGTAGCAGGAGGAGGCACTCTGTGGTCTGGTTCTTATGTACCAACTGAAGGAAATATGCCCTAGAGGCAATAATAATGTTATTATTTTATTTCCTTATATCATGATAAATGTTTATTGTTCATGCTAGAATTGTATTACCCGGAAACATAATACTTGTGTGAATACATAAACAAACCAAACGTCACTAGTATGCCTCTACTTGACTAGCTCGTTAATCGAAGATGGTTATGTTTCCTAACCATAGACATGTGTTGTCATTTGATTAATGGGATCACATCATTAGGAGAATGATGTGATTGACATGACCCATTCCATTAGCTTAGCACCCGATCGTTTAGTATGTTGCTATTGCTTTCTTCATGACTTATACATGTTCCTATGACTATGAGATTATGCAACTCCCGTTTACCGGAGGAACACTTCGTGTGCTATCAAACGTCACAACGTAACTGGGTGATTATAAAGGAGCTCTACAGGTGTCTCCAAAGGTAAATGTTGGGTTGGCGTATTTCGAGATTAGGATTTGTCACTCCGAGTGTCGGAGAGGTATCTCTGGGCCCTCTCGGTGATGCACATCACATAAGCCTTGCAAGCATTACAACTAATGAGTTAGTTGCAAGATGATGTATTACTAAACGAGTAAAGAGACTTGCCAGTAACGAGATTGAACTAGGTATTGAGATACCGATGATCGAATCTCGGGCAAGTAACATACCGATGACAAAGGGAACAACGTATGTTGTTATGCGGTCTGGCCGATAAAGATCTTCGTAGAATATGTAGGAGCCAATATGAGCATCCAGGTTCTGCTATTGGTTATTGACCGGAGACGTGTCTCGGTCATGTCTACATTGTTCTCGAACCCGTAGGGTCCGCACGCTTAAGGTTTCGATGACGGTTATATTATGAGTTTATGCATTTTGATGTACC